GGAGAGAGAGGCCAGCAGAGCGACGTGGGTGGTCGACGGCGCGCCGCCGCCTCCTCCCAACCCGACCACCGAGGCCACCCACCCTTCGCGCGTGGCGTGGCGGGGACTTCTTGCCGCTGGCCAGTCTCGCCGCACGCAGGCGACAAAGGCTGGTCGACGGCGCCGCCGCCCTCTCCGTCTCCTTCGCCTTGCGGCCGCCCCCACTGGGCCACGACGTGACTTCACCGGCCGCCCCCACTCGCCCACGCAACCTGGTGTCACGACTCCGCCGTCGCCGCCGTGCTTCTCCAAGTGTTGGATGGACAACTTGCCAGATCTCATCCAAGGGTACGTATTCTTGCTGTTGTAGAAGTTCTCGTGGTAATCTAACTGTGCCAATTTAGTGTAGAAGTTCTCCAAGCGTATAGACTCTACAGGGCAGAGGTCATGAAGAGGTCTCCAGGTAGTGTTATTGAGATTGGTGTTAAGGAGGTAGATGGCATATTCTATTTCCACAGATTTTTCTGTGCACTGAAACCTTGCATAGATGGTTTCTTGGAAGGATGCAGGCCATATCTTAGCGTTGACTCTACTGCGCTTAATGGTAGGTGGAATGGTCATTTAGCTATAGCTTGTGGTATAGATGGTCATAACTGGATGTACCCAGTTGCTTTTGGCTTCATTGATGGTGAAACAACAGACAACTGGACCTGGTTTATGACTTAGTTGCATAAGGCCATAGGAGACCTTCCTGTTTTAGCTATCTCGTCAGATGCATGCAAAGGTCTAGAAAATGCGAGTTAAGAACATGTTTTCAAGAGCTAAACATAGAGAATGCTTTAGACATCTAATGAACAACTTTATTAAAAAGTTTGGGGTGACGTATTCTCTAAGATGTATCCTGCAGCCAGATCTTATAGAGAAGAAGTTCACCAGTACTTTTTCAAGTCAGTTGTTGAAGCTAGTCCTGCTGTTTTGATTTGGCTACAGGCTCACCATTATAAGCTGTGGATGAGATCTGCCTTCAACCCTGCTATTAAATGTGATTATATCACTAATAACCTTGCTGAGTCGTTTAACAATTGGATCAAGGACTGGAAGGACCTTCCTGTTGTGGAGCTCGCAAACAAAATCAGAGAGATGATAATGATTTTGTGGGCAAAAAGGAGGAAAATTTCAAAAAGGCTTAGTGGTAAGATCCTCCCAGCAGTCATATATGAGTTGAATGCAAGAACAAGAGGACTTGGGCACTTGACTGTCGTGGATGGTGGATATTCTGCAGCAGAAATTTGGGACACCTCAAACACTTATAGTAGACAGTTGTTAAGTCATATCTGCATGAGTGCACCTGTCTTGAGTGGCAGCATACTGGTAAGCCTTGCCAGCATACTCTGGCTTTGATAACAAGTGTGCAATCTGCTAATGTGCATATGGAGGATTTTGTGCACGAGTATTACTCTGTAGACAGGTTCAAGGCAGCCTACAAGAGACTCATAGAGCCACTGTCTGATAGGTCACAGTGGCCAAATGTTGAATTGCCTTTTGGTCTTAAGGCACCCCTTGACAAGAAGGAAGCTGGGAGATACAGAAAAGTCAGAACAAAAAGCTGTCTTGAAGGTGGAAATAGCGGAGGGAAAAGGGCAGCCAAGGAAGCAGAATAGAGGCAGATAAACTAGCTGCAAATGAGGTGCAAAAGGGCAACAAAAGGATGATTAGAGGCAAAAGGAAGTGCAAGAGATGTGGAGAATTAGGCCATGGTGAAACAAGCTACAAATGCCATCTTAATGGGACTAAGAAAAGGCAAGAACTCCTATATTCACTTGCTGCCTTGATTTGTTGAGCTCATTAACTTCAATATTTCACTTGCAGGCAAAGGAAGCCAAGGCCAAATAAAACAAAATATGGTGAAAATGCAAAGATGCCAACAAAGAGAGCAAAGAAGGCGGTTCACAGTGTTGCTGAATCAACAATGGAAGAAATGCCACCAGCTGCCCCAAATGACCAAGAAATGGCACCACCTAGCCCAAATGACCAAGAAATGGCAACAGCAGCCACAGATGCAGTCTGCAGTCCCACAAGGCTCACAGTAGACCAGATCATACAAAACAGCCCCATTAGGGTGACAAGAGGGTACGCAACACATTAGTTCTCTTTTTTTTACAGATATACACAACTATAATCAATATTGGTGCTTCTATTACAGCCGACTCCAAACTTTGCTGGGAGAAGGTGTGGATTCAAGCATTGCTACCTCACCAGACAAGACAATCCAGAAGAGGAGCCCGACGAAGAAATTGAAGCCCAGGAAACTGAAAATCAAATGATGCTTTGTGCTGTTGTATTAGACCTATGTAGACCTATGTTATTGTATTAGAACTTAAATGCTACCTGGCTATGGTTTGGGATGTGAAATTCATGTAAACTGGCTATTTGAACCTATCTATTTTGTGAACCTTTGTGCTGCCATTGTTTATGTGATCATGACATTGTCAATATTCAAGCTATGCTTCTGTGATCATGACACCCCTTGCTCTGTCAAAATTCTGTGAAAATTCGGTGATCATGACACCCCTTGCTCTGTCAGAATTCTATGAAAATTCTGTGATAATGTACATCATATGACTTTAGTCAGTATGATGATGTTCTGTGAATTTGGACCTTTCACATTTCTAGTAGTCTGACAGATCCAGTGCTTTTCGTTCTAGCTCTTGTTCATTATCTACAGAACCATTCTGGGACTGTTTCCATATTTAAAGCATCTGTGCAATGATATTCCATACTTGATAAGTAACCAGTCATGGTTATCATGCTGGGAGGATCACATATTTAAAGCATTTGTGCAATGATATTCCATACTTGATAGACTGCCTTTGTGTGCCCATCTACATGGATGGTAGGAGGCTCTTTCTGGCGCTTCTTGGTTACTGGATCATTTATGTGAGAACCTAGCTTTGTATGACAGTCTCAGATGATGATACTAGACAAGTTTCGATGAGCAGGTTTGAGCACTTTCGATGCTTTCTCCAATTAACACAGGAGCAAATTGTAATTGCCCACTGTCCAAAAGGCATGTACATATCTTGAAATGGACAGGCATTCATCAGCCAAAAGCTACTGCTCTTACAGAATAGAAAATCAACTCTGGAAGGCTATTTCCAAGATGCATTTATTTATGCTAAATGCCAAAGCTTCAGGCATTACACGACGAGGATGTTGTATGAGCTTATGTGAAATCATTACATTTCGGTCATCTGCAAGATGACATACTCTGAAATGAAATACGACTAACAAAATACTCAGGCTCTAAACTAGCAGATGAGATGATTGGAAAACAACTTCATTCCATAGTGCTTACATGTCATTGCAACACATCTACTGGTCATTTACTAACCAGGAGTCTTACAACACACTTGCTTCACTTGGTAATGAGCACTACCACACCTAGAAGAACTGTGACAACAATTACTAAACACAGCACCACCAACAATTGGACCAGACCAATAAGCTTGTCCATCGAGGTCCATCCTCCCTTCATGCTTGTCCATCTTGAGATCCATCCTCTCTTTTTCATACAACCTGCTTTTAAGCTTCATTTCGACCAAGCCTTTAGATTCACCATTACCTTGGTATGGCAATGCTTTAGTTTCACCATGACCTTCATATGGCACTGCAGCTTGCAAGTCTTCTTTAAGCTTCTTTGCGACTACTTTCTCGTAATCTGCCAACCAAGCAAAGAATGGACATTTCTTCTCCGCCTGTGAATGATAACACATAACACAACTTATTTATCTAAACCTTGACAAAGTAACTAGTTCATTCAGTTGGATACGACAAATATAGCAATATATACTCACATATTCATTGTAGTTTACGCATTTGAAGAAGACTTCGCCTTTGTTCTGCCAGGATTTGCATTCCACTACTTTATCACCGCATTTTGGGCATGGAATAAGGGGGACCCCACTAGGACCAACTGGATACTGGGAAAGGGCAACTGTTGGGATGAACGACGAACCAGAAGATGGCTCACCCATAGCAGGCTGGTGTCGGGGAGAGCGTCGGGGCGTCGCTCCGTGGCGGGCTGGCTGCGGCGTGGATGGGGCGGCCGCGGCGGCCGGCCTGGAGGAGATCTCGGCCTAAAGCGTCGACGCGGTCGCGACGTGCTGGCCGCAGGGCGGCGTGGGGTGTTGGGGAGGCTGCGCCGAAGGCGCCGGCGGTGGCAGTCAACGACTCCGTCTCGCGTCTCTCTCTCGACCGTGAGTCCTGAGGATAAGGTTCTGAGGAGGAGATGAGGAGTGGAGATCTCGGTTCTGATGGGGATGGGTGAGGGGTAAAAGGGGAAAGGAAATAACGAAAAAAATCAAAATCAAAATACGGTACATATACTGGTCCAGAGCATTCTGGCGGTGCGTCGCATTTGAAAATGGCAGACGGACGAATCCCATTTGCAGGATGACAAAAGGGCGAAGCCCACGTTTGATAATGGCAAAGTAGCAATTTTCTCGATTTTCTCAATCGTCTCAAACGCTGCAATTGCGCAACTTTCTGGTAAGAGCGATCAAATCAGCATACTTCCAGACTGAACAAATAACTACATCTCAATTCTCAACCAAAAGATTTCGGCAACAATCAACAGCAGATACCATCGCCAGTGTGCAATAATCGACAGGAGCAAGCTGGTTGGCACTAGGTAACAGGTAGCTAGGAATTTAGAGACAAGGAAACATGGAAAAACGAAGTGAATCCATACATAGATTCAAAGCTACCATAAATACATTCATACTGCTCTATAACAAATTACAAGATCAGCTGTGGCAATCTCCAGTAAGCGTCAGTCAATAGGAAGGGGGTGCCGTTACATGTCACTGCAACATAGACTACTCAGCTACACAGGTCACATTGTCATACATGTAGGTAACCTTGCATCTTCAACGACAGGCTCGCATGCCTCAGATCATCCAACATCCCAGGGGAAATGCACAATTGCAACCACAGGTTCCAGTCTCAAGGCGCGATCGTTTTCACAATCCAACATAGGAGCATTGCTTCTTTGCATGTTCTGGAATCAATTTTGCAACAATGTCTGCTGGGACTCCTTTCAATTCTGCAGAACAGAGGTGGCAAGCATGTAAGGTGGTGATATACAAAGAACAAACTTGGAACTACACTGCTAGCTGGTTGTAACAGCTACGATAACAATGCTGAATTGAGTAGGCATGAAACATACCGTGAGCCTTGAAATTGAAAAGGGGTGGCAAAAAGCGGCCATTTGGAAGGCGGGTATTAGGATCCCGAAGCTCATCAAAGAATGGGTGAACAAGTGCCTCCACCTGGACAAAAGATTCATAAAGATCTTAGAAAATCATAAAGTCAACAGGGGTAATGCAGGAGCTGGCACACAGGTCTAATGCTATGACTATTTCCATCATGTAATGTACAATGACATGCACTTACAGCAGTGCATCTCAGATTTGGGGAGTACTGGAGTAGCCGAGAGACCAGATCAACAGCTTCTGGCGGCATCCTTTTGTGGAATACCTGAAAGATAAAATGTACAAAAAGGCAATTAGTAACACAACAGCAACAGTTTTTTCAGAATATTGTAACAAAATGTAGAAAGATTTGCACCTTGTGCCATGGGTGTGCTTTGATTTGTGGGAACTTAAACTCTGTGTAATTCGGGTTCATGCATTTAATTTCCTCCCTTGTTGGAGTACCAAGGACCTGCCATACAAAATCAAATTAAGGGTGATCAGAATTTGTGTTTCTGTAGAAGATAATTTACAAGTTCACAGAACCGACAACTACCTTGATGATTTCTACAAGTTGGTCCACACCACTTTCACCCGGAAACAAAGGCTGTCGAAATAGTTCTTGTAAGACAATGTGAACTGAAAAGACTTTTGTTGGCTTCAATTTTTTTTTTAAATGGCAATAAAAATTTGAGACACCTTACCTGCCCTAGCATAAGCTCAGCAAGAACACATCCAGCAGACCAAATGTCAATCGCTGTGGTATACTCAGTAGCACCAAATATGAGCTCTGGAGCCCTATAGTACCGGGAGCAGATGTACGATATGTTTGGTTCCCCCTTGACCAGAACTTTTGCACTACCAAAGTCACATAGTTTAAGCTGGTGGGTGTGTGGGTTCACCTGTAGTGAAGTTTGAAAATCAATTTCAAAGTACAAAACCATTTCTTCTAGAAAAAGATACAGAAGCAAAATAGAAGATTTTCCAGCATACCAGAAGATTCTGTGGCTTAATATCTCTGTGGCAGACACCAATAGTACCATGAATGTAAGCCAATGCCCTACATATCTGCCAAAAACCAATACAATATCAAATATTGAAAAAGAACAAGCACATCTATTGGAGCAGCCAATATTTAGGTGAAATGAAATATTTTGTTTAGCTTCAACATCAAACATTCTCAAACAGGATCCAAAACATAAGCTTTAAAGTATAATTAAAACAATAGGAAAAAGGAAAGGTACAAATCATTACCTGGTACATATACAGCTTCACATAAATAAGTGGCATACGTTGGTTCATCTTGTTGTGATGCTTCACAACTCGATGAACTGTCTCCGGCACATACTCAAGGACCAAGTTTAGATAAAGCTCATCCTTCTCAGTTGTTGAAAAGAAGCAATGCTTCAAAGCAACAACATTAGGGTGGTCAAGAAGGCGCATGGTCTGCAGCTCACGGTTCTTGTAACGCTTATCCTGAAGAACCTTCTTTATGGCAACAGTCTCACCCGTCTCCAGACACTTAGCCTATGAACAGGTGAAATGGCATTGCAAATTAGGAGAGGCATCTGATTACAAAAGGTAGCACGCAAGATATGAAAGATCTAAAATAGGTACGGCGCCATGGAAAGTATAATACCATCGACAGCTGCATAATAGAACATATCTAAGTCAGTCACAAGTTGTTGCAACTAACCTGGAAGACAATCCCAAAAGAACCTTGACCTACAATGCGCTCAGCCATGTAGCTCACTGTCTGCAAATGCAACCAATAAATTCGCATTATTAGACATACAAAAAGAAACTGAGAAAATTGATCTGAACAATTCCACACATCATGAATATGTTGGCAATATGCAAACGTAGCACATTAAATTATGGTCTTGTCTTTCAATTATTAGATTCAAGCACTGCACAGGAGGTGTGTCAGGAGGATGTTGCATGGGGTGTTCGAATACTAATAAAAAAACAAATTACATAATCCGTCATTACTACAAGAGACGAATTTTTTAAGCCTAATTAATCCGTCATTAGCACATGTTTACTGTAGCACCACATTGTCAAATCATAGCCTACTTAGACTTAAAAGATTCGTCTCGCAAATTAGTCGCAAACTATGCAATTAGTTTCGTAATTAGTCTATATTTAATACTCCATGCATGTGTCCAAACATTCGATGGGACAGCGACTAAAATTTAGGAGGGGCACCCAAACACCACCTAAAAACATGTACAATAGTTGATAAATCCTGATCAAATGCAGTAAAGCACTCTCACCTGTTTTGGTTGACCATTCTTGCCACCAGTAGTGGTGACAATTATGTGCCCAGTTTCAGTCCCTTTCCCATTAATTATGGTTGCTTCAACTTCCTGCAATTGGCATTCACGTAAAATGTTATATCACGGTCCCATTTTTCACATAATCTTGAAGAAATTCCCGAAACAAGATGTCAATGCATCTTCACCTTATCATCTCTAATCTTTATCTCGTTCATCTGATCTTGCAACTTCACCACACCAATGCTGGTGCTGCTGCTGTTCTTGTACCCAGAAGGGGCTACACCAGCTGAAGCCATCTCTTAAGAAAGCCAACGTGCAACAACTCAGCTTTGCATCAACTCCCCCAACAGCAGCAGATCTATTGGGCTACCTGTAAGTGGATTAGCAACCAAATCGATCAGAGGGATGGTTCTAGATACTGCAATGGCAACATCATTCGCAACGGCAGAGGCTTAATGTCTAACTTGCCGAACTTTGTTAACAAGTAGTACAGCCCATCCCTCGAATATAGGTAAAATGTAAGAAACGAGAACAAGTTCATCCTAGACTTGCAAACACGGCTGAAGTCATGAGCCAAGCAGGCAACCGACAGAAAATAGAGCACAGAATCACCTAATAGTTGACACACATTGCAAGAACCGCTCACGGCTTATCAAAACATCGTAAAACGAAGTCATTCGTGTTTACTGTACCAAAGTTTAGCCATGGCATCGAACTATCTAAGGGCTTTCTTATCTTGACCCTACTCTCCAAACATATAAAGCCAGACTGGCAGATACTCGTAAAGATACAGACGCTAAGTTCATCCGCGAAGCAAAACTTCCCCCCTTCTAAATGGCCTTAGAATGGAAGGGGAAAAAAAAGCTCGACTGTATATGTCTCGGCCAGAACTCAAGCATATCAAGGCAACGTGCTCCGAACTCTTGCAAAGTCAAAGCAAATAATCCTAATTTAGGACCCCCTCTGAATCTGTTCAGGGGGCATTTCCGAGCCTGTAACGAAGGGGAACAAGCAAATCCACAAAGAATTGACGGCTTGGGCACTAATTGATGGATTTCATTTCGCATGGAAGCTAGAGCAGCACCTATGCACCGATAGACAAGAGGAACAGAAGTCATGAGATCCGCGCAAACGCTCTAGCCTCTAGGCTGACTAAATCACTAAGAACATGAACACGGAACTCAGAGAAAGAGCGCATCTTTCACAGAACGATGCCAACTTCGTCAAGAACCCAGGAAACGATCCAGAAATCGTCACTGACCCGCGCGAAGAACAGGCCCAACCCGGCGGCGAACGGTCCGCGCCTCCCACCGGGAAAAGGCAGATCCCAGGAGACGGATGACCAGAGCTCCCAGAACCGCCAGCGGCGCACGCAAACATGGACCATTCGCGGTCACAAACGACCAACAGAGGAGAAGAAACCGAAAAAACAAACAGCCAAATCTAGGAGAAAGAACAGATGGGTTTCCATACCTCTAACCTCCCCCTGTTGCCTCCCTCCTTCCTCCACCAAAGAAATATCTCTGTTCCCCTCCGAGATGGTTCCTCCGCTTCGCCTTCTCCCTCCTCCTCCGCCTCCTCTCCACCAGTCTACCTCCCTGTACTCTGGCTGCTCGCCCTCCTCTTCCCTCCTTTCCTCCCCCTTTCTACCTCCCACCCCCGCCTCTTCTTTCCGCTTGTCGGGACGCAGGCACAGCAGAATACTGCTCCCAACGCGACGCAGCGGCCGAAATGATTTGTGCCTGCCTGCTGCCGAGGCCTGCAGTCAAAGCACCCAGCACCACCACACCACGCCCGCGCGCCGATCCCTCCCCCTTTAACGCCGCAGACATGTGGGTCATGTTCCTCACAGGCCCCACCTGTCAACCAAGCGTTCTCGGCACGAGTCACGTGCACACAGGGCGCCGGATCCCTTGGGGTTTTGGTTGGGCCACGCCTTTTGACTGGTCAAATCCTCGGGGCCCGCTGCCCGGACTGCGTCGGGGGGGCTCGGTTACTGTTCGTTTCCTCTGCCCCTGCACGCTGCCGCGTGGAGCCGAGCGCGGTCAGGGCCCACGCCGCAGCGGGTGGGATCCGGTGGCGGGGGGTTCCGCGTTTGTCCGTTATTTTTACCGCATCTGGGCATGCGAGATTCGAATACTGGGGTGTGGTGCGAGGGCGAGGAAAAGACGGTCGTGCCCCTGGGCTTGGTTAGATCTGGGCTCTTGTTTTGAAGTCGAGGCGAGGAACGGTAATCGGGAGGTGGGTGGCAGAGCAGCGAGGACGGAGGACCACCGCACCGGCACTCGCGAGAGACTGTTGACTCGAACCGGTGAGCTGGTGCAAGTGAGGTGAGCCGGGCTTTACAGGACCGCAGGAGCAGGTACTCCCAACCCCGCGGTGCGTTCTATTTTGAAATTTCAAATCTGGACGACCGTGGAACGTGGATCGGTGGATAGATAACTTGGACGCCAAACATAAACAAGCTGGTGAAACAAAGCGCCTCTTGTGCCTGAGACTGACAGGTTCAAATGCCTAATTAGTTGGTACCGTATTTTGTCATGCTTAGTTTTAGTTAAACTATAAAAACTGCTATAAACAAAATTGAAGCTACACTTATAATAAAGTTTATGAAGAAAATTAGTGTATGACATGTGAAACAGAGTGCTACGAAAATATAGTATACCATAGATGTGATAATGAACCAAACAACTGTCTAAAAAGCTGTGACATGACTACAATGGTAAGTTATGGTCATGAACCAAGCAGGCCCTTATTACAAGCAATGTTCTCCTTACGCGGAGCAACTAGGCGCGATATTGTGGCTATTAGAGCCTATTTGGATTGTTTCCGTTAGTTTACCACACCATAGCTGTGCGTGAGCCAAAAGCTTGTGGCGTGGCAAACTTACAATAAACTTAGGAAGCCATCCAAACAGAGAGCTAAGTTTTTGTGCCAAGTTGTGGCCAACTGTGGAAGCAATCCAAATAGACCTATTTACGAATACTCTAGATTATATCAACCAATGGATTTACATATTATCGGAGTACCATGGAGAAATGCCTAGTGCCTCAACTAACAAAAGTTCAAAACCGTTGCCCCATGGAGCGTTAGCAAATGAATTTGCCTGTCTTGGTTATGTAACTTTATGAGAGAAAGGAGGACCGTAAAAAGGTTTTACCACAAGATAAGGTGTTTTTTCTCAAGTGTTAGCTTGAACTTAGAGCTTGATAGCCTTGGTTCTCCTTTCATAGGAGGTTTGTACATCTATTCCAAAGCCAACAACTTTATTAGCGTGCATTGCTTGTGCACTTCTGAGCTCACACATTTTATGCAGACCAAGAGAAGAGGAATGCAAAGTTGGGCTCTAGTGAAATTATATATGAGCAAGGCTTATAATCATGTGAAGTTCGGATTCTTGAGAAGTATGATGACCAAGTTGTGTTTCCATTGATGTGGCCATGAATTGTTTCACAACAGTCTTATCGTATTAAAGTTAATGGTGAGCTTGCTAATAAGATGTAATTGATTCATGACATGGTTTGAGACAAGGAGATCCATCTCCCCTTTTATGTTCTTGATATGCACTAAAGCATTATCTTGTCTTTTGAATGTAGACAACAATAGTGATGACGTTGAAGAGATCAGTATATGTAACAATGTCCCAAGTATCAATCATCTTGTCGGGTTCATAAACCCAGGGTCCCCAATGGACCTGCTTCCCTACAAAACTCGGCCTAGTAGGCGGCGCAACGACAGCACATGCCTGGGCCGATGAAAGGTCCTAATGGCTAGAGGGGGGTGAATAGTCTATTAAAAATTTCGACAACAACACTTAGCAAACCAGTTAGATAAATATGAGACGAAGCGAGTGTTGCTTTAGCCTACTAAAAATGCAAGCCACCTACTACAATTCTAGTTTATATAGTCTCTATTCACACAATGGCTATGTCACTACACTAAGTTAGTGTGCTCTCAAAGGCTAACTAAAGAACCACACTAACCAAACTAACAAGCTCTCACGACTAGCTACACTAAAGAACTAATAAGCTCTCACGACTAGCTACACTAAAGAGCTAGTTTGCGGTAATATAAAGAGAGAGCAAGATGGTTATACCGTCGAGTCGAGGAACAAACCAATCAATCATAATAAATGAATACCAATGAAGACCAATCACCTCGGAATCAAATGAAGACACAATGATTTTTTACCGAGGTTCACTTGCTTGCCGGCAAGCTAGTCCTCATTGTGGCGATTCACTCATTTGGAGGTTCACACGCTAATTGGCATCACACGCCAAACCCTCAATAGGGTGTCGTACAACCAACATAAGATGAACATAAGTCACGAGCAATTCACTAGAGTACCTTTTGGCTCTCCGCCGGAAAAAGGTCAAGAACCCCTCACAATCACCACGATCGAAACCAGAGACAATCATCAACCTCCGCTCGACGATCCTCGCTGCTCCAAGCCGTCTAGGTGGCGGCAACCACCAAGAGTAATAAGAAAAATCCCGCAGCGAAAGACGAACACCAAGTGCCTCTAGATGCAAACACTTAAGCAATGCACTTGGATTCTCTCCCATCTCACAAAGATGATGAATCAATGATGGAGATGAGTGGGAGGGCTTTGGCTAAGCTCACAAGGTTGCTATGTCAATACAAATGGTCAAGAGTATAAGCTAGAGCCGGCAATAGGGCTTAAATAGAGAGCCCCTACGAATAGAGCCGTTGGCTCTCTGTTCACTGAGAAATCAGGGCGGCCAGACGCGCCGGTCGAATTGACCGGACGCAGGACCCCAGCGTCCGGTCCTCAGATTTTTGCCATGTGTCCCCTGCTTCAAATGCTGATCGTCCGATCTCAACGTTCATCAATACACTTGAGTTGTGATCGGACGCACTACAGTGTAGGATCGGACGCACAGTTGCCTAGCGTCCGGTCACTTCTAGTAAGGTTCCAGTCGCGATCGGACACGTCTGGTCACCGCTGACCGGACTCACCCAGCGTCCGGTCAACACACAGACCAAACCCCCGAGCACCACGTCATTAGCACCGGACACGCTAGAGTAGCGTCCGGTTGATTTTATCAGCCAGCGTCCTGTGCAACTCAGAGAGCGTCTAGAGAGATCCCTGAGCGACCAGACACGTCCGATCACACATGACTGGACTCGCTTAGAGTCTGATCAGTCTCTGTTGACTGACCGACGCCTAGGTTTAGCCACTAGACGTGTCCGATCCCACGAGGACAGCGTCCGGTGCACTCTGTGAAACCCTGTCTTTTCTGTACAGGGCGCCGGTGCCACCGTCGGACACTCC